AGAGAGAGAGAGAGAGAGAGAGAGAGTAGCTCTCCACCCTTCCTATAGGGACAGAATGGGCATGACAGTCAAACAAGGTAGAGGCGTTGCAAGAAGAAAAGGCACAGCGCAACCAATTCTACAGGCACAGGAGGAGACAAGTGGAGATTGCAGAGAGTAGAACCTAGCAACATGTAAAGAGGAGACCACATGGCAACTGTGCAAGGCTTCCCAAGAGAAAGCAACTGGTCCATGGCTTTTAAATCAACACGTAATATCATCCAAAAAATGTAAAAAACTATGTGACATAATATCATACATATTTTAATAAATAACTCAGAAAATGAGAAATAAAAGATAATTCTTCAACCTGATAAAAGGTTTCCTCTTTAAACTCCATAGGTGGCAAGCATCCTTGTCACTAATAGCAAAGGACTGGAAGTATCCTTAAGTTTGTTTTGTAGAGTAGATCCATGTAGAATTCAGATATCTACAGCAAAGTGCCAAAAACTCATAATAAATTTAGCAACGTTGCTGAACAGAGTTTTATTATATCAAAATCAATGGCCTTTCTACACGCCAATAAGAAACAATTAAATTTTAACTTACTTAAAGGAACATTAATAATTGTATTCCTAAAAAGAACCGATTAGGTACAAATCTAATGAAATACCTTCACTACTGTGTATTGAGCTCTGTCAAATGTTGATGAAATAAATGTGCATCAAACATATAAGCAATTTATTGTGCCTAATACTTGAAAGATTATGTACTATTGAGACACAAGTTCTCCTCAATTGACTCAGTCAATGCAGTCCTAATTAAAACCACAGAGATTTTTGTAGATATTAATAAACTGTTTCAAAAATCTACATGGAAAAATAGAGTAAAAAAAAAAATCCAAAGCAATCTTTAAAAAGCTAAAACAGAAGAGTCAGGCTACAACTATCTGTAACACTCAGCATTATATGATGCTGATTATATGACAGACATATTAACCAAGTCAATGGAAAAGTCAAAGTGCCCTAGAAAATATGTTTATATTCACTTTTCATAGCATTTTAAAGTTTCAGTAGGAAAAAGAGTCATTGCAATAAATTGTGTTGGAACTACAAAATACTTATTAAAAAGCACCGAGAAATAAAAATAGCACTAACTTGTCCCATCAGTTTAATTAGGAAAGAAGTAAATTCAAAATACAAACAGACAAATGTTGTAGGAAAAGAGAGGAGGAATTATATATATATATATATATATATATATATATATATATATATATGCTTTCTCACCTTCAACCAAGATCTCAGATAGCCTAAGATGGTCTTGAACAAACTATGAATCAGAGAAGCATTTCCTAAGCTTAGGTAAGGTAGAGTTCTCATGTTAAACATTACATGTGCAAGCCAAACAAGAAAGAAAATGCAAAACCAACTCCACTGAAATTCAAGCCTTTTGTTTTGTAAAAGACACAGTTGAGTGAACTGAGAAGATAAGCTACCTGGTCTGGCATGGTGACTCATACTAGTTCTAATACTTGGGAGCCTGAGACAGGAGGATTAGAAGTTCAAAGTCTTCGTATGTGTGGTGTTTTGAATAGGAATGGCCCCCATAGGCTCATATTTGAATGCTTGGCTATTAGTAGCATATTTGGAGATGTGCCTTGTTGGAATAGGTGTGCTACTGGGGGTGGGCTTTGGGATTTCAAATGCTCAAGCCAATCCCAGTGTGTCTCTTTTCCTCTCTTCCTGCTGCCTGCTCATCAGATGTAGAACTCTCATCTCCTTCTCCAGCATCTGTCTGACTTCAAGCTGCTATGCTCCCCACCATGATGATAATCAACTAAACCTCTGAAACAGTAAGCCTGCCTCAGTTACATGTTTTGCTTTATAAAAATTGTTGTGGTTGTGGTGTCTTTTCACAGCAATAGAATACTAACTAAGATACTGTGTTACACAGCAACTTTAAGGCTAGCCAGGCCTACAAGACTACATGAGACCCTGATTTCAAAACAGATTAAAACGAACCAAAAAAAAAAAAAAATCCCATACCTTAAGGCAAGCCATAGACTAGAAAAAAATACAAGTATTAAACATAAATATTCCCCCAAAATGCATAATGGTAATGAGGAGTAGAAGATGCTATGGAGAGCTTTGTCAGTCATTTGGCAGTATCTCATTACTCAGAAGCCTAGCAGATTGATTCTGCACACTGGTGACTATGGTTCCAAGGTCTTTTCTTAACATCTTTATTTCTTCTTCTTTTTAATGTGATGCTGATTATTCATGATTATATCTCTCTAGGGCATTGTAAGTTTCTTAGCTTTCCTAGTTTTTCTTTTTGCATCTTTGTCTCATTGCATTTTCAGAGCCATCAACTCAAACTCTCTCTCAAAGTTTCAACTCAGTGTTCACACTTCTAACACCCACAAAGTTCATTCTTCTCACATTAATTACCCCTTTTATTTTTCTTGTATCCTGGTTTTGCTTTCTTGATTGAAGATCTCCTTTAGATACTAGGTTTTCTGTACATACATGGTTTCTTAGTCTATCAAACACTTTTGTTTATCCTGGTCCTTTTGTCCAACTTAAAGAGCAGCACACCTACCCATATAAAGCTGGCTTGAAGCTTATAGATTTCACAAATGACAGAACATCATACTTTCCAATTGGACACTTGAAGTACAAACTATTATTTATTTTTTTTGGAAGATGTTTGCAATTCATTGCTTTCCAGATACAAATGAGCCGTTTCTTATAAGGGGGCATTTCTGATTGACTTGCTTGAGTTAGAGAACACAGCTACAGAAAGTAGCCAAAGGTTTGCGTTCAGATTACAGTCTCACTTAATCACTGATTTTAAACTTTATCCAACATCTCTGCTTCTCTGTGCCTACAGTCTATAATTAATGATTAATCTCTCGGTAGTTGGACTGAACCACATACATATGCAGTAGGAAGAACCTGGAGTACTAATCTCAATCTTTTGTAGATTTTCAGCTAAGTTTATCTTTGACCTTCACTCCATACATTTCTCCATGGTGTCTCATGTTGATGAAGGTTTTTCTTGTCCCACCAAGTCCTGCTGCCACTTCCAGCCCCAAATGAACTTACAAAGATTTATATTAAGTATAAACTGTTGGCCAATGGTGTGGACTTCTTATTGGCTAGCTCTCTCTAAATTACTAACCCATATCTGTCAATCTATGTATTGCCACAAGGCTGTGGCTTACCTAGAATCCAGCATGTTACTCCTTCAGCAGCATGGTATCTCTACTGTCTCCCTCTCCCTACCTTTCCCAGAATTCTCTTTGTCTCCTAGTCTCACCTATCTTTCTGCCTGGCCAAGCAGTGTTTTATTTATCAACCAATAAGAGAAACATATACACAGAAGGACCTCCCCCATCAGTCTCATGTCTCTCTATTCCCAGATTCTCTGCAGAAAATTAAGCTTCTTTCAGCCTTCCAGCCAATATAATTTTATCAATCATTATAATAATTTGTTTCTTCTGTTTCTAAAATTGTGTTCAAATCTGGCCTACACTGGTTTCTCTCTCTCCCTTTATTTGCTATTGTGGCCCACTGATCATTTGAATGGTCTTGTATTAACTTCTTACATTTGGAATTAAGTGATCTTTAGTTCCAAACTTTTCCCCCTCTGGTATGATCTGTAGTAATATCCATTTTAAAATACTATGATGGAGACCCAGATATGATCCTTCAGTTTTTCATAAAGCTTGGAGACTACTTTTGGCTGAATGCAAATGTACAATCTGAAGCACAATTTTTCAATCATTCAGCAAAATTTGATTTACAAAGATACCAGAAGAACAGGACAAAACTCATCTCTTGAACTATAGATATTTTTTGACTTTAAGAATGAACTCAGTATTCTACCCACCAAGATTCTTTCCATGACTTATAATCCTGGCTAGATTATGGAATTTTTCCTTTGTATATTTTTTCTTATACATTGTCAATATTGACATTATTTATAAATATTTAGTTTCCCATTCCCACTATGGGACAGAACTTTAAATTTAAAATTGTATGCCCTCTTTGGAATTTATTTTTATTTTTGCTTCCTATTGTATTATAATCACAAATAGGTTTGATTAAAAACATAAACAAAGTCTCCAGTGTCCAAATAATGGACACATTCCTCTTTTCCATAGTAAGCACCTATTCCTGGCATACTTAGAAAAAACCCACTGAAGAAATTGTGTTAATTAGAACAATCCAAATTAGTCAGGAATGTACAGTTTTTTATTTGAAAACATACTCAAGAAATAAAAATTTCAACATGAGTAGCTAACACCCAGTTACTTGTGTTTGCTAATTGTTATAATTACTATTGGCTAAAGTTAATTGTCTTGTTAGCATTTCTATTGCTGTGAAGAGACACCATGACCACAGCAACTCTCATAAAGGGCTAGTCAAATGCTTAGTTCACTTTCTTCATGGCATAAAGCAAGGCAGCACACCCACAGACATGGTGCTGGATAGGTAGCTCAGAGTTCTACATCTTGATTTGCAGGCATCAGGAAGTGAACATGAAGCTATGCCCACAGTGGGCATAGCTTGAGCATATGAGACCTCAAAGACCACCCTCAAAGTGACAAACTTCCTTCAACAAGGCCATACCTACTATAACAAGACCACACCTCCTAACAGTGCCAATTCCTATAGGTCACACATTCAAACACTTGAGTCTATGGGGGGGTCATACCTATTCAAACCACCACATCAATATATCTATTTTTGTACTGATGGCAAAACAAAACAACCCTGACCCCTAGAAACATCAGTGTGTTTCTGAATCTATCATAACAAAAACACACCATTACGGATGGAGTCAGTCTATGTTTGTTTGTGCATATGTATTTAGGTAAAAGGTGATTCATCTTAGGATCAAAGTTTGACAAGGGACAGCTCACATTTTTTTCTTTATTCTCACTCAATACAGGGGGAACAGCAATTACAACATTACTTCTATCCTGGGAAATGACATTAAGTTGCATTCCTGTTAACACTGGATTATTATTATTTTTGAGTGTTATTTCTGAGCAGAGGCCATGCTAATAGTCTCTGTATCATCACAATTTTAATATATGTGTTGCCAAAGCAAGCACTAAATCTAATTTTTAGTTTGTTTTTTGAGGAAACCCTTGCTGTCCTGAAACTTGCTTTGTAGACCAGGCTGGCTTTGAAGTCATAGAGCCATGTCTCCAGCTCCAAATCTGAATTACTAAGAGAGGACTCACTTTTAACCTCTGGTAATTCCTCAGCAAGGGAAGAGTAAAGAAAGGGATTCTATTAAGCATCTGATAAAATTGTTAGCAGCTATCCAAATACTATTTTCTCTATTTATTTGAGACATATTTTGAGCTTTAGAGCAATCTGAGATAGATACATCAAATAATTTTCAAAGAAATTCAGTTATAAAGTGGCCATTCTCATTAAAATTAGAAATTTTGCTTCACAAAATAATTCATTAAAGAGTATATTTAAATAAAGAGGCTCTCTTTATAGATACATTCAAGTATCTGTTAATAGATGACCAGGCAAGAGACATCAGGAAAACAGATTTTAATGTTTTTGGTATGCAGTATAGATTACCTGAGAAATATAAGAAATTTTATATGCACCCACACTTACAGCAACCCTTAAGTGAGATTTTCATGGCTAAACTGATTTTTTTGATATTTGCTTCCATTTCTTATGATCAGAGTTGTTTAGACTGACTGATAAAAAGCTAGGTACCTTGAAGTAATATCATGGATTATAGGTATTGAAATGTCACTTGGAGTATCTTCCGCAGTGCTGACTTGGGTTCCATTGCTTTTCACACAGGCATTTTTTTGTACAGACTTCCACCTGCAAAGATTAGTTTGGAAAGGAATAAATATAATCAGCTTCAAAACAGACCAGCAACAGTCTGAATCCACCTTCCCCCTCTTCATATGAATCTCTTCAAGTCTTCTATAGCCTCCTGGGGCTTAGTAAATATTCTTCTTTTTGATGTGAATTGAATCCAGTGGGATGAACTCAGAACAGAATACAGAATTGGGCTCAGGACGATTGATTTAGTGATTAGCATGGTGATGTTTTGGTCTCTGGTTCTGACCACTCACAAAGAGAAGGGCTTATTAATCTACTCTGAACAGTCAAAGGACGAGAGACACCCAGGTGCTGATACACGAGCCTTGCACAGTGCTCTCCAGATCTATAACCACGTGCTGTAATGATGATATCTCCTGGAAGTCTTTGACACTTTGCAACAAATTGCCTAAATGCTAATGTCTAATGGGAGAAAAATGAAGCTCAGGGAAGCCTCCCAATAGGGCTGAACTATTTCATAGCCATTTGTTCCAGCTGCAATAGTATTGTCCCCTTAATCACAGCAGAAAAATCATCACTCACCCCTTTAATTCTGCCACCTAGTTAGAATAAAAACCGAGAGGGTGGAAGGACTGACAATCAGAAATGGGGCCCATCCCATCAAACATTAGTAACCCCAAAGGAGTGAATCCAGTGCTGGGAGGGGAACATGTGGGTACATAGAAGACACCTGGTGGGACAGACACCACACATAGCATTTAAGGGTAAACTCAACTGTGTATCTTTTTATAAAATATTTTTTTCTAAAATGTCTGTCTGTGTGTGTGTGTGTGTGTGTGTGTGTGTGTGTGTATGAACATATGCATATGTTTGCAGGTGGCAATGGAGGCCAGAAGGGGAACTGGAGTTATGTGTGTTTGTGAGCCACCAGATGTGGGAGCTGGTGATGGAATCTAGGTCCTCTGCAAGAGCAGCAAGTTCTCTTAACCGCTGAGCCATCTCTCCAGCTCCTGAACTATACTTTTTCTTGTGCTCACTGACCTTGAATGCCATGCACTGGGGTAAAATAACGCTATGTGCTGATGATCTTAAATTCTGCTGCTGTGGTTTTAAGTAAATCAATCCTCCAAGTCTTTACATGAGAACTGAAAAAAGACAGATGAGATTCTCACTGTATTTTGGAGACACCATTTTGTTCACAGTATTCCTGTCTCTAAATAGGAACTGGGCACATGTTTATGACAATGCATCAGCTGTGTAATCAATAGTTGTAATATTGCTGTTTATGGTACTATTTTATGGACTTAATCAGTATTAAGATCCTCCACTATGGCTAAGCACAAACAGGAAATAACTTTAAAATATTGATTATTTAAAAACTTGAAATATAATGTGAAAGTTAATGCTATCCATTTTATGCATGCCAGAAGGTACATAGGATTAACCCAAGTAACTCAACTAAATTCATTCTGTCTTTAGTATATACAATATACTAAATATTCTTTGTCTTTTGGATGTACAATAAATAGTTCAGGTTTGTATGCTGAGATATGCCCTTCACATGTTTACATGTTATGTGTTCACAGCATGCAATGAACAATCAGTATAGAGAATGGTGATGTCTCCTTGCTTCTTCATGCTTGGAGCTTGAGGTCTTCCTTCCCAGCTATTGATAAAGTAGACTATAGTTCACTCTGCTGAACAACATCAGAACTCACTGCTCCTACCTGAGTTTTGGTACCTGTAACTCAGGCTTTCTCTGTTCCCAACTGCCATCATTTCTGACCTCTAGTAAAACCATTCTGCATTCAGATCCAGTACTCTTTATCTAGCACATATAAGGAATCCTCAGACCTACAGTTTAACTAGTCTGTAAACTAGGGGGCAGAGAAATCAGGGGACCTAAATATCAGATGTCTGATATTTGTCTGGTGCTTCATTACATCCTACTTCTTCTCAGCCAAACATTACACTTAAATCAAAGGACTAAACTACTTGTGTTTCTGCAAGTTCTTTCTGTTGACTTTGGGAAAGCATAACCCCGTGTTCCCATTCTTACTAATATAACCTTAGGAGTCTTTATCCTGAGGACATATCTAGTACCATATATGGTATAACATGTGAATGAAATGCAAATATTATCATTTACTATACTTACTTGAAAAGAGCTTAAAACCAAGTTTTAGAACTGAACTTATGAGTCCCTTTGAAAGGGTGACATAGAAGGATTTATCCATTAAGATACCTGGGTATTTGATCAGCTTTAAAATCAATCACTATTTTGTGGAAGAGATTAATCTAGAGAAGTTTTGTTCAAAATATTGGGCATACTTGTTCAATGCTGACTTAAATGATGTTTGACTTCATAAAAAGAGGCACTAAAATATAACATTCAAATTTCCAGCCATGCATAAATATGACAAGTGATAATACTAGACTACAAAAAAAAATTCCACAGTGTAAATAGTAAGAAAAAAACTCAAATTTGGGGTTCAATTTTGACTTTTTGTATTTGTTTCAATGATATGGTCTGATTAAAACATGCTTTCTTCTGGCCACAACTGACTCAACCCATCAATGTGAGTGAGGGCTTCCATATTACTAAAGGGGTAAGAGATTTGATATGTCAGACCTTGTTCTACAGGCCAAGGATGAGCAGCACTCTGAGAGCCTCAGAGTTCTCACCACCAGCCTAGATTCTCACTCTCAGCTTTGTATCTGAATACATATATGTGAATATATGTATTTATTTACTTATTTGGGGCATGTGTATACATGTATGCATGCATGCATGAGTGCATGTGTGCATGCATATGTGCATGTAACACCCGAAGAGGGTATTAAGATCTCTTAGAGTTGGAGTCAAAGACATTTTCAAGACATGTGGATCATTAGGTGGATGCCATGATCCAACAGTAGTCCTCATGATAGCACAGCAAGAACCCTCAGCACCCTCCACCACTGAACCACCTGGCCAGCTCCAGACTTTCAGATTTCATAAGGTAAATGATCAGGCTTCATTTTCAGATCTCAGTCTTAGCCTCCAATAGAGACCCAAAGGCAGTAAAAGAAGACAAACTGGGAAGTGGTTTTTTTTTTTTTTTGATAGTTTGACTAACTTCATGTCACCACTGGGCATTTTATCATCTCCTTTATCACCACCCAAGCTCCATCTTCACCAAGAACTGTTTGCTTTCCAGGGGTTCAAGTCCACAAATCCCTCACAGCAAGCAGCTTTCATTCTGGTCAATTTCCCTCTTCTCTCTTTCCTTTCCCTTCAAAGAAACAATAATCTGTAACCAGGACAGACAACCTCCACACAGAGATGTCACCGGCATGTTTTATTTAACATATCCATGAGCCTAACCATCCAAAAAAAAAAAGAAACAAAACAGTGTTCTGACCTGAATGCCATGGCCAGTGAAGGGAGACAGGCCTTTCAGGGTAATTGACCCCTGCACATCCACTGCAGTCTTGTAGAGTTTATTATTTACATAGACAGAAGACTCAGTGACAACAGCATTTGGGTTTGAAGGAGATGTCCAGATGACATGTACAGCTGTACTGCTGCTGATGACAACCTCTGGAGGAAGCATGCCCCGAGGCTCTAGAATTAAAGGAAGAAACAGAATAAGCCCCAGCTGTCTCAACAGAAGCACTTGTTAAACTAAATGCAGACTGGTACCGAGGCTCAGCAAAGGGATCCTTGCTTATCTAGTTTCCTATGATGAAGACAGCACAGTCTGAAGTCCTCTACAAATTGGCTTATTACACTCTCAGTTAGAAACCATAAGAATCGGCGGCAAGATGCTTCATACCACCAGCATAGTGCTAATCTTCAATGCTATGCGACCAGTGGGATACAAATGATAAATTACTCACCCGTCTGCACCTCTAAACATGTATCTATTATTTTCAACCTTTCACTTTATGTCTCCTTGGGGGTGGGGGAGGGGAATCTGCTCCTTAAAGCCAAATATAAAATAAAATTCAAATACACCGAGGCTACTGGGATGTGAAAAATCATTTGCTGTTACTAGCTTGTAACTCAAGCAATATGAAGCAATAATGCAATATTGTCATTATGTAAATGATTTTGAGTGTTGATTACCATAGGTAATGATGAAATCTAACATTGGAAAAAAAATCTTGCTTAGCATTAAATTACACAATTATTCAAGCATGTCAGGAATAACTATGCAAAGGCCTATTTTTATCATAAAAACTCATCTTAACTAGTTGAAAAATTGTCCTTGTGATTCATCCTATTTTATAAACAAAAGGTGCCGAC